GCATAACAAGGTAAAGAAAAGAAGGAAAAAAAAAATATATATATATATTCTGCCAAACTAAAATGAGAAGCGGTACCCAAAGAAAATGAGATGGAGAAGGACAGAGGAGAAAGCCATTAGAGCAAAGTGAGAGGAACTGAGGGATGAGGGCCTTCCAGATGGTAGGAGACTGTTGCCTCGGAAACACAGAGAGGGCAGAACAAAGAGGATTTGGAGTGGCGTTTCGCATCACATCGTAATGTGGCCGCGCCATTTGGAAACTGAGCAATGAAGCTACAGCCAAAAAAAACATGGAGGCCGACCGATTCACTGCAGGAAAATCCTTAAAAAAATAAAACTCCGGTCAACGCGTCAAATGAGAGGAGAGCTGATGGATAAACAAACAGGTTCTGTTCCTGTGCACTTGTGTGCTGCCTATCGACTCCGATCACAATGAAATGTGGGATAAATTACATCTCTGTGCAGAAATCTGAGGAAAAAAGCGGACGACAAATATAAACCCTACTTTGTTAAAGACAGGAACCGTGACAATAAGTCAATACTAAAATTAAAAAGCTTCTTATGACTACATCCATCTTTTTTTTAAAAGTATAAATATCAATCAGTGCCCAGAGACATGAATAAATATGTATGAGCTGTCATATTACATCACTGTATTGCTTTTGACCTCCCTGAAATGCACCTACGCACACTACATAGATTTCTGAAGAAATAATAAGCATGTAGGAGCCTCTAGAAAATGGCAACTTCAAATGAAGCCGTAAGTCATGTTAAATGGTGCAAACCACTCCACTAGCAATACCGACATCTCTGACATTTGAACGCGCAGCGGCCATAAAGATCGATTCATCCCATTGGCAGCGGATTGGAAGTACAGGAATGTGCCGCGTCCGTCCGTACGCGCCGAGATCCTTCAAAGTGGAGATGACGCCCAGTTATTGCAGTGTCACACACGAGCACTTAGGAGGCCTGGTGGGTGACTTCCTGAAACATCATGAAACCCATTACTGATAATGCCATATCCCATACAAATAGCCTTCATTATTTCACATCTTGAGCCAATGAGGTTCCCCCTGAGCAAGATGTAATCGTTCCAAGCTGGGGACATTTTGCTCCGTGCACGACCACAGGATACAAATTGCTGACAGGAGCCCGATCCCCCGACGGACGACCGATTTGGGGCACGAAGTTCTGAAATGATGCTTGGAAACAGCGGGGCTGATCGTGGATTCATGTGAATGGCTTTTGAAAGAGGCGTCCAGCACGGGCTGACTGCTTGAGTCTTGTTTCAACGGGTCCACACGTCATCGAAACAACTCACGGAGAGTTAAATATGAGCAGAGGGCGAAAACTCATCTTGTCTCTTTTCAAAGTTAACTGGGAGGTTCAACGCTTGCAGACAACACATTTAATTATCATTTCACTTGAAAATCGAAGTTCGAGGATTGTAGCAGCGCAGGAAGAGCAGATGGTCATTAGGCTGCTGCCAGATGTTAACATTTCACAGCTGCAACTACTGGAACATACAAAGCGCGGTCGATCTTCTTCTTCGACTCACATGAATAATAAATGTAACTTTCCTTGATGTATTTCCCACATATGTGGTGACGGGTTAAGTTCCATGAAGCAAAGGCAAACGGCAGCCATCGAACTAGCAGCATGGAATACACATTTAGGGAGCAGTGAAGGAGCGATTGACCAAAGGTTGTGCACCACGCGGCCCCATTTCTCACTAAAAAAAACATGATGGAAAGGATGGGGGGGTCGGATGAGGGGGGGGTTGTGTCCCCTTCATGGCTAACAAACAAGCAGAGACTCGCAGAGTCCAGAGACGCAGAGAAACAACTGGACAATGGGGCGGATTGTGCCGCTGCTGTAAAGTGGTCTGGGAACCTCCGGGGGCCTGTTTGAGAGTCTCCTCAGAGAGACAGAGGGACAGAAAGAGGAATGAGAGACATTCCCTTTCCTACACCCCCCCCTCACCCTCACCCTCCTCCAGCCGAGTGAAACAATATTCAACAATGTCCCCTTCGCCTCAAGTTCAGGGAGGAGACGAGGAGGGAGGAAGACGCGGGAAGAAGAGGGGGGTAAATGAAGCAAAGTGACTTAAAGAGACGGAGCGCTTCAGGACGCTCAGCGCAGCATCTGCTTTCTAATTACTAACCAGCCAATTAGCATCGTAATGAGGAAGTGACAGCCTTCCAGGAAACCTGAACAGCGGTTCCTATTGGCTCTTTTAATCCAATAAGAGTAATAACGAGGACAAATGGGTAAGTGTGTTGAGCTAATCCGATGGGGTCGGGGCTGCGTCTCAAACCGCCGCGCGCTGTTATCAGATCCGTTTGAATCAAAGCCGCGCTGGTCCGGAAAAAAGAAATATCTTCACTTTCCAAGAAAGACATGGTTTTGTGGTAAAGTTTGGGGGCTATGGAATGCAATATGTCAATGAGTGTCCTCATAGAGGTAAAGATGTACAGGCGTGCGTGTGTGTGTGTGTGTGTGTGTGTGTGTGTGAGAGAGAATGTGTAAATGGGGCACACATGGTGAGGGCGCAACCTACTAATGTTGACCATACAAACACTGTGATAGACATCTACTGACCTCAGAATGACCGAATCCCCCCAAACACACACACACACACACACAGGTGCGCACATAATACACACGCGTCCAAACTAATCATTAAAGATGTTTTGAGAATCTGTTCTAAATCATTACCAAGAAACAAAGTATTCAACCACAACTTTTCAGGTTGGATTCCTGACAGAAATATTGTCTCTCTCGTCCACAAACCAGTGGGTCAGGAGGACCACGTCCACTACTGCTACATTCTGTGGTATTTTCAATAAGACAGCAGTGAGACGAGACCTTTAGAGGGATTTAAAGTGAAAGGACATGGACAGGGGAGGGGGGGGGGGGCTCATCTCTTTCTCTTACTATGTTGTCGCTGTTCACGTTCCATAAAAAGACTCTTTAAAAGAGCAGCAGAGTTAAGAAAACAAAACTTAAGTGCCAGTGTTTCTTTTTATGACGAGCATCTACTAACCCAAGCGCTTTGGTGGCGTTGCTAAGCAGAGGAGATCCCCTCTACGCGCTGACATCCGTCAGTTAGCTGAAGAACATCACCCGCCTCCCGGCTCCGAGCCGCGGGTGTCTCGCGTGGACGGAGCCGGCGCTCCAGCGGACTGACTTCCACTCAAAACGCGCAAGCACCCGACTAAGCAACCCGGCGGCTATTTGCGGCCGCGCTCGGCTCGGAACGACGTGGACAGGTAGACGCCGGGCGCCCGCCGGCTATTTCTGTGCCGCTGGCAAAATAACATGTTTGGATAAAGGTCAAGAGGCGGGATGCTGTTTCCAAACATGATCTCTTTCTCTGACCACGCTGAAATATCTCTCCGGTTAATTGACAGCGGGGAAGACAGCGTGGACAGGGCGGGGGGACAGGGCGGGGGGGACAAATAGAGACAGAAGGAGGGAGAGATGAAGAACTGCTGCTTTAAATGTTTCACAACCTTTACCGGGTCAGAATGAGGCACGTTATCAAACTGACTTTATGGAAAGAGGACATGGCTCCTTTTCAGACACGGGGGCCACATGTAAAGTTGGCCCTGCATTTTGGGATTACAGTGCATGTCGGAAAGTGGAAACAGAGACAGGCTGTACTGTATGCCAGTGTGTGTGTGTGTGTGTGTGTGTGTGTGTGTGTCCAATTTCCCGAGCCCCTTCAGATACCACAGCCAGACCTCAAAACTATCATCGCTGTTCTCACTCCCATCTGCCAAAGTCATCACCCACACAGACACTCTCCCCCTACCAGGCGCGCACACACACACACACACACACACACACACACACTCACACACTCAAGAAGGAGGTGTGGAATAGCCTTCCCTCCACCACTTTAACAGAGGTGGGAACCTGGCTATAAAGTTCTTAACGTTCTTAACTTCTGTCTGTCATTCCACCCCATTGGCCTCCTCTCTCTCTCTCTGTGACACGCACACGCACACACACACACACACACACACACACACACACACACACAACATTTGTTGGTGACTTGATAGCCTGCTGAATTGTTGGTTTCTTATAAGCGAATAAGCGAAAGAAAACGTACTACTCATGTACGAAATCAATCAATCAATCAATCAATCAATCAATCAATCAAGCACAGTGGAGGATGGAAGGTGAAGATAATTGAGTCTGTGCAACTGGAAAGGTTGCAAAGGGAAAATACTGAAAGCTTGATGGTTTGTTCTTCACTGTGATTCACTTACCTTTAAATGGGCAGTGAAAAGCTTTGGTTTCATACGTAGTACATTTTTAAAACAATTATGGGTTTAATATTTATCTGATTTTATCAGAAATACACATCGCAAATAATAAAAAAGGATTCTTAGAGAATGCATTGATACACTCAGGAAGTGTGCTGGCTGATCTAAGTGATATTTCATGCTGTCCAGGGAGGGAAAGGAGACAAAAGAGATAAAAACATGACCAAAGAAAACATATTGATGAACCTCGAAAACACTGGGGAAAAAAAAAAAAATGACTCAAGTAAATGAATAACATTTCATTAGCAGTGTAAAATATGACTCATACATATAGTGACGAAGTTCTTTTGACAATTTGACCACATTTGTGACAATAAAAATGCTCAAAAACTAAAACCACGATGAGGAAAACATGTTGTGTATTAATATATGCAACACAAGAACAACTGATTGTGCATTAGTCAAGTAAGTTCTGGTGTTGGGGGAGCAGACGGAGTCAGGGATCAGTTTCAGCCCCTCCGGGAGGGACGGGGGGAGGAGAGAGGAGGAGGTGGGGGGGTACGAGAGTCCTGGCTGAGGGCCGAGGCCTCCAGAGACAAACAGAAGACATTCGGGCCTCAGCGCTTTAATTAGCGGCTTCAAGAGAGAAAGGGAAAGGAGAGGAGAAGAGCGACGGCCTGCAAGGAAACATGTGCTTTTTGAGGGAAGGAGACGGAGCCGTACCTCGGCAGGGAGGCGTACTGACGTTCCACTTCCTCGTAACGTGGCGCCGAGCGATGATCCGCCGCTCTGCTCGCCATCTGGGGAGGAGAGACAACAAGTTTGGATGTGTTAAAGTAAAAAAGAGCCGAATCGTTCATGCCCCTTCCCAAATACCCCCAACCGCTGCTCCGTGGGCCTAGAAACATACCGCGAGCTTGCAGCCATAAGCCCCTTTCCTTGTGTGAGTGTGTGCGTGTTTGTTTGTTTGGAGTGTGTTTCCGAGACAGGGGGGATTCAGCATGACAAAGGCTAGTTATTAGAGATTTAGAGCTCCGGTCTTCTGAAGGGGTATTTGGGGGGGGGGGGGGTATTAGACGAAGCCCCCATCCGAGAGATTAGGTTACTTCAAAACAGGATGAAGTCGTCACACACGCACACACAAACAAAAGCCGCGCGTAGACACACACACACACACACACACACACACCACACAGTCACGTCTCATCTCCATCTCGAGAGGGAGAAGAAATAAGAGAAAAGATGAAGTCGAGCTGCCGACGGTTCAATCTCTCCTACTTCCTCCTCTGCTCCGCTCTCATTTCTCTTCTTCCATTTATTCTCATTGCCCCCCCCCGCCCCCTCCCCACCACCTCAACTCTCTCACACACACACACACACACACACACACACACACACACACACACACACACACACAGATTATCCGGTCTATTCAGTTGGAGAGATCCAGCTGCCAGGGCGCTTCTTAAAGAATCCAACTAAACCCCAAACATCAACGAGGCCATTAACACACACACACACACACACACCACACACACACACACACACACTCTAACCATTTGAATGAGTCGTGAATGAGACTTATTTGACATAATGTGGGGCTGAGCGATATGATGCAGGGGACTCTGACGCCCCCCCCCCCCCCCCCCCTCCCCCCTCTCGGGGTCCGTGTAGTGGGGAGGGTCTGGAAACAGCCCGCGGGACACAGCCCATCACGGGGGTACCCGCGTGACGCTTGCGTGCACTGCCTGACACGCAACTATTTGCGTTCCTCTCTCTTCAACAAAGAGCACGAGAATCCAGACGGGCGCCGCTCTCTCCAGGAGGCACGTAAAACAGATTTACTTGGCTCTTCCATTCTTTTTGGGAACACCCGTCTTTATGGCCTCCATATCTCAGGTACAGAGACAGCGGGATACGAGGTGGGAATAGAGAGGTGGAACGAAGGGAGGGAAAGGCATTAAGGGGGAGAAGAAAGGAGGCGAGAGAGATGGAGCGAAGGAGAAGTAAATGACTTCCAATGGAGAAGCGCGATATAGAGAGAGGGGGAGGGATGTTAGGAGGCCATTGAAAAGCAGCAGGGGGAGAGGAGGGGATGAGGGGTGAGTGATAAAACAGTGGGGGGAGGTGGGGGGGGGGTGAATGGGGTGACGACCAGGACGACGGAGCGGGGAGGTGAATGAAACAATTTAAACACAATGTTGAAAGAGGGAACGAGATGGGAGAGAAGGGTAGAGTCATAAGGGGGGAGGTGAATGGGGGAGGCAGGTTGGGAGGATGAAAGCAGCTGAAAGGTAGTTTTTTGCATTGTTCTCTAAAGTCTATTGGACGGAGATCTTTTGAATCCTTCATTGGAGGATGAATTTAATGCTGGTTTTGATCGTTCGGTGGGATGTTAGTCATTAAGGATTATCTTGCATGTCTCTCTATCTATCTATCTCTGTCTAAAAGGAGCTGTAGCTGTTGGGCTTTAAGGACATATTCTCCCACACGGCGTTCTAAAAGCGTTAAACAGGTTTCACTCAATGTTTTAGCCACCATCTATTAGTTACATCACATGGTTCCAGGTCTCAGATAGAATAAGTAACACGAGCTGTCTCCATCGCTGACTATCTAATAACTGTAGTCTAAAAAAACAATGCTCCACGTAACAAACTAATCGGCTGTCTGGTGCTTTCACCTCGTGACTTGACAGCTGCAGTCAGTTGTTTATCCTGCTGTGTGTTCACACACACACACACACACACACACACAGGGAGGGGGGGCCTGTGTTTTGATGAGAGATGCTGGTGCTCTAATGCCACTCTCGATTGGTGGTGAGTGTTGTAGAACCTTTGAAGGTGCACAGTGCAGATAGACGGAGGGAGGACGCAGTGGTGCTCGTCTTTGTGTGTTTTTCTTACGCACGGATTATGAGCAGATTACCGTGTGATGCCACAGACTTGGTAAACACAAACAGATGCGTGTGTAATGAACGTGCACGCGTGCACATTAAGTCAGGGGAAGTGTAGACATTCCTGCAGACACAGTGGTTTTTCAGTGAGAGCGTACGAGCTTTTACTACAAACGAGATCATATCGGTAACGACAAACACTTTGAACAGGGGAAGTTGTGCGTCTCCGAGTGTGTCCTCGTCACACAGCTTTGATGCACAGGCAGGGAAGTCGGTTCGGAACGAACACAAGAAGTTCCTGATTGAGAAGAAGGCCGGCGCGCACAACACGCACACCAAGCGCTTTGTGTTAAACGCTCCATTTTTGTTGGACAGACAGACGTGTGTGTGCATTTTGCACTTTGAAAAACATCTTTGGCAAAATAATGCGAGTCTCTGCTGAAAGATGCTGACAGCAGAAAAATAAGTAAGCCATTGCCAAGTGATCCCCGCTTTGTTAGTGAGCAGAACAACCCGCCTGCTGCAGCTGTGTGTGTGTGTGTGTGTGTGTGTGTGTGTGTGTTTGTGAGACATGTCAGATATTAGTAGACTCTCAGCATTCACAGCTGTGACAGGACTACAGTGCAGGGCAAAAACTGTGACAGCTGAGCTTGCGTGGGACATACTGTACACACACAGACACACTGGGACACACACACACACACACACACAGTTGCATGCACGTACCAATCCGTGCAAACAATCCATCTTCCGCCCACGCAAACAAAAAGAAAAACAAAAGTATTCCTTATACAAATGCAGCTACAGAACACACACACACATTCGTCTCTTTTAGGTGCCAAAGACACACACACACGCTCTCTCTCTGCGGGCGCGCACACAAACACACATTTAAACACACGCCCTCTCGCTCACAGAGGGCGGTGGCAGTAGCGCGGCGCACTGGCCGGGGTAATGGTCTCGTGAAAAACCATTTCACGGCCTGGTGAGCAGAGGAGAGGAGCAGAGGAGAGCGATACTGAGGGGAGAGGGAGAAAGCGACACAGACACACACACACTCGCGCTCACATCTGGAGGTATACAGACAACAAAACATTCTTTTTTTAGGGAGCGCAAAAATAATTGGGAGAGCGAGAGTGTGCGCGTGGACCTTTGAAACACTTTCTGTTTAAAAGTTTTCCTGCCAAACATCGCTGACGAGCAGCACATCTGGACGTCAGAGTCGTGTCATTCACAAACTCTCCAAAAGGAAACGTTGTCTTCTCTGCAAGCGGCGATTGGCAACCACGCGGAACATTCAGGACGACATTTGATTTACATACCCTACCCCCCTTTGGATGGATTTGCTCCAACCGGTTTTCCTCAAAGATGCCTGACGCTCTGATTGTAGCCACGCTCCATAATACGGTCATGATCGTTACGACGATGTCGGGCTCGTTGTATCTGTGGGAGCAGCTTTCTGGCCTCATTCAAAAAGTAGTAACCCCCCCCCCACCCCCCCCTTTGCACACTTACATGTCGCACTCCGCTGTTATGAATCTGCGCCACGTGAGCGCACACATTTTGCTTCAATTTGTTTTGTGCCCTCTCGACTCCCTTTTGTCATCAGTGTACCACACACACGCACGCACACACACACACACACACACACCGTAAGAGTGGTTCATCACTCTTCTTCCAACAGACCCTTGAATGCACCCATAAAACGCAGCACCCCATCACGTTTAAGCACTGAAACACTCAAAAGTCCGCCTCCCTGTATCTTACATTTCCTCCCCCCCGCTCTCTCCCTCACACGCGGCCGCTTTCCACTCGAGCAGTTTGGAGGATTTCGGGGATTTGGAGCGACGTGGAGCATTTGGTGGCTGGGACTACTTAGGCCAAATGTGAAGCGTCTCTTTCCCTCCTCGACTCTTCTTCCTCATCACTCTCTTCCTCTCTCTCTCACCTGCTTCTTTCCTCCTCCCTATCTGTGACCACACCTCATCCTCGCTCTTCATTAACCAACTCGCCTTAAGTGAAATAAAGGGTTCCTCTGAGTGCTCTTAAATCTTCACACTCACTTAAGATCTCTTCCTCTTCCTCCCACAGCCGTCGTGCTGTGATTACTCCTCCTACCTTTCCCCCTCCATGCATCCATCCATCATTCATCAGTGAATGAACAGCTCTCTCCCTCTGCTCAATACCTGACAAAGGAAAGCAGCACAGTCTCTATTAGTCACTTCTGTTCCCTTCTGCCTTTCTTCTTCTTCTTCTTCTTCTTCTTCTTCTGATGGAGGGGGATGGTGCCCTGATTCACACACTCCCCACCTTGCATGCGATTCTTTTACTCTCGGCCCATCTGTCTCGCTCCCAGTGTCCCTTCCTCCTTTTGTAAATCGATAGAAAAAGATTTTGCTTCCTTTCAGTCATCTCTCAATTGTGCCCCCCCCCCCCCCCTTTACACACACCCTGCCTCCCACCCCTGAAGAAATCGATGAATAAGGGAAGGCTGGTTCTAATCCGTGTCAGTCGTATCGTTCTGCTCAGCCAGCACTTTTGGCTGACTCAATTAAAACACATCTCCGAAGAGGCTGCGATTTCTGTGCGTGTCTTTGTGTGTGTGTGTGTGTGTGTCGTACCCGCTGCCTATGAAATACTGAATGCCCGATGCGTGTGCGCTCCAGTGCGTGTGTGTCCGGACTCAGCTGCGGGCCGGTGTGTTTGGACGAGGGCCACCTGAGCGCGAGGCGATGAGCAATCGTTCCCGCGGCGCAGCGCTCGGACGTGAGAATATCAATAATCACCAAGTACAACTCACAACATTGTGTGACCCACAACAAAAACACACGCCTTGTGCGCCTTCTCCCACAATGCACTGCTCCTTCCCCTCGTTTTCTCCCCGACCACGCGGACTCCCTTCTCTTC